GGGGCCCCCCCCAGCCACTCAGTGCAGAGCTCCATGTAGCCCGACAGCCTTTCTCAGGACTTGTTCCACTTGGAAAAGCAGCACATCAAATGCAAATCCCCACTCCCTTGGGACTGCACTTCAACCCTGCCATCAGTGCTGCCATCCAGAGCAGAAGTCACACTGATCCACCAAAAAGAAGCAGAGGACAGAGAGCTGGCATGGGCACAAGGCTGGGATGGAGAAAGGGGATGCCTCTCTTAAGATGGGTATGAACACTTGAGTCCTTCTCAGCATCACGCAGCTTCCCAGGACACTGGGGACCAACGTTACCTCTCCCATATCAAATCCCAACAATGAGACTCAGCCCAACAGCAGGCAAAGACCAAGACTCCATGGGAAAGTCTCTTCTCCATTATTTCTTACACTATTCCCTCTTATCACTTCTCTGGAGACTGTCCAAAGACAGGGGAACATAAGCATAAGGGGATCCCACAGACCTAGAAGTCAGGAAGATGGTAGTAGACTGTCCTTGGACCACAGAAGGTGATGCCTCAGCCATCCCTGCCTCTGTGCCCAGACTGATCAGATTTATGTCTCAGCACTGAAATCTAGTTATCAACATGTCTGCTGCTCCTGAGCTAAAAGAACAAGCTCTTTCTTGCTCAATATTTACCTATGGGAACAACCCTCTAATAAACCTTGCCAAGGCACTACAAAAACATGCAATCTTTCTTCTACAGGAGACAAATTCCACAACCACTTAACCAGCCAGCTTCAACAACACTTGAAGCAAAACCAAACCTACGTGCCACCTAAGTGGAAACTTCCCATCGCATTGGCTGGGATCAATGCCTTGACAGATCCAGTAATTAGATTCAATCCTACAAAACCTAATCCGAGGAGAGAAACCCTGAGGAATCTCTCCTTGGACCAGATAGCACCTGCAATGACACACAATCCTTGTGAAATCAATACAGACACATCATTGTAAGAATTAACTGTATCTGACGACGCATCCCTCTCTATTAGAGTTATGATCTCGTCCAATTATGGATCTTTGTTGAACTCATAATTATGAGTTTGGTATTGTGACTTCCCACCAAGCTATTGCTTTCCTTCCACAGGGGAGAGAAGAGTCAATGAAAAGATAATGGAAATTTCCTTTCAGGGATGAAGCAACGGCAAAATTTAGCTAGACAGGAGGGGAAGTACAATGGGGACTTGATGCAAGACAATTCCCTCAGCCACCCACCATGAACATGAACACACCAGGGTCTTGCAGCATCACTCAAACACTAACATAAATCTAACAGTCAACTCTGAACAGCCATGCGAGGCAGCTCTTCCTCTTGAATTCCTTTCAAAGCCAGACATCAGAGCTACCCAGGTGAACAACAGCTTATTCAAAGGAAAGAAAGGAATTCTTCCCATGTATCTCTTCCTTTATATTTGCTTTACCAGGAAGCTTAAACAAACAACCCAAAGCCAACATATACGTCAATATCTTTGTATCCAGCATACAGCACGAGCCTGCTTTGAGAGACTGACAGCACTTGACCTCATGGGAAATAGCATCAAGGCAGCAGAAAAGTAAAGATTTATCTGCTTCTCATTAAAACACAGGTCTCCACACCTTGTTCACACACCATCTCCCCATTTCCTTCTGGTAGCTGAAAAAAAAAAAAATCAAACTTTGATGACTTTTCCAAATGACTTTCAGTGTTTCAAAATAATCAGTTGAAAAAACTACTTCAGCACTTAGGAAATCTTCCCCCTGCACCAGCAACTTTTTGGGACCATTTCTTTCATCCCTCTTTGCAATACAACCGATTTCTGCCTTCTCTTGCAAATATTTTTCCTTTTAACACAGCTATGCTTGTATTGCAACAGGTAACTTTAACTCATTCCTTCTCTCCCTGCTTTTCATCAAAAGCTCATTAGAAACCCAGTGAGAATTACTTGTGGTTCTGAAACATGTGGAAAAGAAACAAAAACCTGAATGCCCAGCCTTTCAGCAGGAGAAATGCAATAGATCCCCGTGCATGTCTGTGTTTATTCCCATGTGCAATCCTCAAGCTGATCAAAGGTGTTGAGGTAATTTCACATTCAAACAAACACATTGTGAGCATTTATCAAAATGCTGAATCTTTGAGACAAATGGGGCTGTGGTGGGTGAAGGCATCTATCTGGTGTGCTGTGCTCTGCTGAGGCTTCATAGGAAAACAAATGGAGGGAGCAGACCCAAGGAGCAATTTTTAAATTGCTTCCCAACGTAGTTATTTCCTGACAGTGATTTTTCAAATGCAGCAGCAAAGCTTGTCCCATCCTCTGCCAAAGAGCTTGGTGAGAGGCTCCCAAACAAAACTGGTGTGATGTGACCAGAGGAAAGGTGGACATTCATTTCAAGCTGTGGATGATGTCAGTTTCTCAGCTCCTTTAACTCACAAAAATAGTCTGAAGGGACTCCAGGCTACAAATCCCTGCCCCAGCCCTAATTTTGAATTTGTTCTTTTTAATTGATTTTTGTGCTGAGAGGAAGCCTGGGAAATTTCCATCTGATGGATGCTTTGCATAAGAAACAAAAGGCAGAAAGCAGGAGTCTGGAGCAAGGGATTACCAAGGTGATCATCCCTGAAAGCTGCACCGGTGTCAAGATGATGATGGACACAGTCACCACGCTCTGGTGCAGCCTTAGGGAAGTGCCAGGGCCCGTGTAACACTGTAGGTACTAGAAAGCATCAAAGAAACTCAGAACCTCAGCAACGTCCCTGAGAAATATTATTTATGGCTCCTGCACGGTGCTGAATCACATAAACAGCACATCCTAGGATGCCCTTACCCAACCAACTAGCATTGTGGTCCTCACCTACACTCATACAGCATCAGAAAGTATTATCCACAGAAACAGTCAAGATGCTCAATCATTTTTCCCCCTCTCAGACCCACGTGCATCCCACCAGTGCCCATGGCATTGGGTACCTTTGCTTCGTCTCCGGCTCCGATACTGCTCCGTGTAGAAGGTCAGCTGGGTTTCATCATCTGCCTCCGAGCCAGAATTTCCTTTGGCACGTCCAAACCCAATCCCACCTGGAAGCAACAGAGAGGAGAAAAATCAGTCCTGTCAGCTGGGATGCACGGCAGCAGGGGGAGCTGGGAGCTCCTTGGCAGAGCTGCTGGATTTGGCTGGTGTCCACTGCTCCCAGCCCAGGTGCTCAACAGAAGCAACTGGGGACTTTTAACACTCACGATTTTGCTGGTTTCTCATCAACAATCAAGACCCCATGGCGATGATATAAACATACGAAGATGCTTTTTACCCCCAGGAATGTATTTTACAAATGTATTACAATGTATTTACAAAGAGATGTAGAAGATGTAGAAGCTGCTCTCCTCAAGGACACCTCCATGGTGAAGTACAGTAAGCTTTAGGTATTTGCTTCAAAGCCAACCCAGCAGAGACAAGAAGTATGGGGGGCATCCAGCACTTGTGGGGGTGCTCAGGACCACACTGCATGACAAAGATCTGGCTTCCCTCCCTCAGCACCCACTTTGGCCCATCTGCTCCATCAGCTTGCCATGATGGCCAGCAGCCTGTGTCTCTGTGGTGGCCAGCACCAATCACCACAGTAAGGAGCAGGGCTGGCCCCTGGTTTACCCAGTATCTCTCACCAGAACAGGATGCTGGAGGAACCCATCTCACCTCAGCCTCCACATCCACCAAGGACTGATGAATGCTTAAAAAGCAGTACAGTCTCTAACTGGCAGAAGTCCCTCAATCCTTGCAGAGTTTAAAGCAAAGAGGCCTCTGGGGGTTGACAGTGGCCCTTTAAACTGCCATTAAAATATTTAATGTTTTTTAAAAATCCTTTATTCTAGGCAGAAGCACAATTTCCCCACTTCTTGGCAGAAGAAGGGAAAATGAGCAGTGCCTTCTGCCCTCTGAAATCCTTAATCACCACAATGAAGGGTGCCTGGCAGGAGCTGAAGGGACACCAGGAGCTCAGCACGTGGCTCCTGCTCCATCCATACCCTGACCTGGCCGTGCAGTGTCCTTGGGGGGACGTCTCAATGGAGGGGCAGAAAGAGGCTCTGCCAGCTCCTTTTTCTCCTGAAAGCAGCAGGACTGTGTGGTGGTTGCAATACAGCAGTGCTTAGTACTCACATACACGAGGGGTTTACAGACTCACATCTCACCACAACCCACCACCAGTTCAACCTTCTTCAGACCCCCCTATCACAGTGAACATCCAGCATCACAAAACACCCATACCCAGGGACAGGAGCTTTGAGGGGCACGGCTGAGTGGTAAAACCAATAAAGCTTATTCGCATCAGTGAGAAAAATCTTAATTAACCCGGACTTCAACACAGGCCTTTGGGCAACCAGCCAAGGCTGCAGCTCTGCTGCATGTCCCTTCTCCTGCTGAGCAGGGGCTGCCCTGACTCTTTTGCTGCCACTGGTGTCTGATGCTGGAAGACAGACACCAGCTAAGGGAGGTTTTGCCCCTGGAGCTTGGCAGAGCCAGCTCCTCTGCCCAGGAGAGGGACTTGGACGCTACTTGTGCGGGCAAGACAGGGCACATCCCTCTGTCCCCTTCCCGTGAGCCAGATCCAGTCCTTTACAGGCAGGCAGATGGCTGGAGCAGACAGAAGCAGCAATCTCTGCACTCACAGCCTGTGCCCGGGTGTGCAGGCAGCCAGTGCAGGCAGTGGGCAGCGATCGCTCCGCCAGCCCCCGGCCCAGCCCCCTCGGGCCGCTCTGCGTTTGTTTGCCGGCTGTGTCTCAGTGATGGATGGTGCTGACATGTTAAATTACTCAGCCTGGATGTCTTCAGAGAGCTGGTGACAGCGATATTGCATTTTCTGATTACCCAGCACTGCGCAGGATGTATAAATACAGGAGTCATGAGACCTGGTGCAGGTCCCCAGCAGGCAGCGGAAACGTCTCCTCTGACCCAAGGCGTGGTGGCAGAGGGCAGCCTGCAAACACCAGCCCAGGGCAAAGAAACAGCTGCAACAGATGTGCTTTCACCCCTTCACACTGCCAGGGATGCAGGAACGCACCTTGGTGGTGGTTTTGGGGGTCCCAGAGCCCAGTTGAGGCAGCTTGTAGGACACAGGAGCATTCACCCATGACTGATCCTGCCATGAGAGCCTGATTTCTTGTTTCACTGACCCCAAAATCTCTGTGAGATGCTCATGCTTGGGACACAGGCTGGGCTTACTGGCTGCTAGCTGGGGCACAGGGCCAAAGAGGTTCATGAGGGGGCCAAGAATGCTTGAATGAGATGCTTAAAAAACAAAGGATGGGGAAAGAACAACTTGGCAGTTCCAGGTACTTGTAATGTACTGGCAACTTTCTGCAGCAGCTCTCCCAAGGAGTTACACTGCCCTTTACACCCAGTTTATTCCTGCCATTTAGAGTTAAGAAAAAAAGCTTCCCCTCCTCGCCTGCCTCCCCACCTCCTGTCCCAGAGCCTGGGAACCAGGCAGTGGGACAGGAGGTGGGGAGGCAGGCGAAGAGGGGGAGCTCAAGGAAGATGCTCTTGCCTCTAATCCTGTTTGCAGATTTACAAGCTCGTTAATCCATTCAAATAGATCTCAGCTCAGCCACACACCGGGCAGGGCGCTTGTTTGGAGCCTGATATTAATTTAGTGGGGAGCAGGGCGGGGTGCCAAGGCAAACATCTCTCACCGTGGCATAATTAAAGATGGTAGAGTTAATGCTAAACAGGGACTAAGGAAATAAAACTCAGGAATTAGAGGCTCTGCTATCCCCAGAGGCTTTTGTTAGCCAAAGCCACGTGTATTTTTAAAAGGCGAATTTCTGTCATTAAAAGAAAAGCCAACCTGACATTTTAAATCCTTTCCCCAAAGCCAGGAGGTTACAGAGCTTCTCAGGAAAGCAAAACAGATGCAAAACAAATCAAAACTGAGTTAAAATAATAATAATTTTTTAAAAAGAGTAATGGGAGCTCTTTTGATAACTCCCAACTGAGGCCAAGTTGTCCTTGGATCCTTAATCCCTCCGAGCAGGGTATTATAATACAAGTGGGAGCCTGTATTTGTTCCCAATAGTGTCAACCCTGGGTGACACCTTTGCCCATGCAACCCCCTGCCACAGCCCTCTGTCAATGCAAAATGGTTTTCTCCTTTCTTCCCCTCCAGAAAGAGGCAAACCCTGAACACACCACAGCATGCAAGACCCTCAACCTCCCCGCTTGACTGCATTGAGTTCACTCCAGCACTTGCATGCCCTGTGCAACACAGTCTTCTGGGTGTTCAACAAGCTCTTCTGCTCCCACACTTCCCAGTAGAAAACAGCTGGAAAATCCCCTCCCTTCATCCTAAGTATTGCAGCAGGGTCTGTGTGCCCAGGGCTGGCAGGGTGATGTGAAGCCATACAACTAGCTAAGTAGTCATTTTCAGTTTAATTAATTTATCCCCAAAAAGCTCACCTGCCAAATGAAAAATCAAGAACAGTCAGAGAAAGGTAAATCAGATGCAATTTTTGGGAGGGGAAAAAATACACACGATCTTTCTTGATCTTCCCTTTTTTTTCTATCTCTGCCTAAAAAACCCAACCTGGGGCAGGTGGTGCAACAACCAGGTGACAGCCTCATGTCTTCCACCCTGGGAAACTGGGATCACACTGATCCCAGACCACAGCTTCTGTGCAGCTGTGAAGGGTTCTGTTTTCAGCAAGGACCAACTCATGGAGCTGGACACGATGCTTTAACTTGAATGAGGTAAAAAGCTCCTGGTTGAAGCCCTCCGAAAAAACTTGCCAGTGAAATGTGATGCTCTGTGAGCACCATGGAACAGACAGGGTGAGGGAGGAGCCGAGGTGCCCTGGCTGATGGGAGATGATGGGAGCAGAGATGATGGGTGAACCCATGGCTGTGCTCCCAGGGGTAACTCCGGGTACATCGTGGCACAGCCAAGACGTCTAAAGTACAAGAAGCCCTTTCAAGTGCCCGGCTCAGCCAGCAGGATCATTAATCGCTTATTCCTTCTCCAAGGCAGGGTGCTTTAAAGGCCTGCCCCAGGAGAGGGCACCAGACCCCCTCTGTGAGCACACCGGCCTCCCCCAGCGCCACCTCTAGCCCTGTACCCCAACATCACACCCAGCCCCTGGCTTGGGCACGCAGGATGCTCCATCGGCCAAACCCTCATCCCTGGTCCCTCTGCTGCCTCCTCCCTCCATCCCGCGTCTCCCAGGACATCACTTCCATATTAAGCCCCTCTCCAAGGCAGCCGGGTTGGGATGCTCCAGGTACCAACCTGGCTGCATTTTGGGACCCACTAAAGCCAAAGACTCTTGGCCACAGCATCCTTCCCTCCCATGCTGCCAGGTCCCAGCAGAGATATCCTCCTTCCAGCCCACCCCCCCTGCACCTCAGCTCTTACCATCCTCTATTATTCATAGACTCTAAATGCGCTTCACTCGAGAAAAGTGTTTGGGGAGAAAGTTTGTATGAAAAGGGCATTACATCAAATAAAGGTAGATAGTTCTGCAAATGGAGAGGGTGATGTGGATGTGTTGGGGCTTTTTTTTTAGTCTATCTTCTCAGCAAAATACGGCCTTTCCCAGAGCCGTTAGAAACACTTAACAGAGAATCAGATTTAATGACGAGCAATAGGCAGCAGTTTAAATGCACTTAGTGCAGGGAAGCGAAGCAAGACAAAGCTCAGCCCAGCTCTGTTTGTTGGGCTGGGGCACCGGGTTGGTTGTTTTATCCCATCTTTCTGCAGGAGAAGCACTGGGAGCCCTTTCCGAGCCTTTCCAGAAGGGAGGAAATCCTTTTGGTGGGTGCAGATCCTGCAGGGAAAGTGCTCCAGGTGCAGGGCTGGGGTGAGGTGAAGCGTTAATTAAATCGGTGAGAAAATAATTACATGCATGCATCCGTCAGGCTGACTTGTCACTACCCAGTAACAAAGTTGGACACAAACTCCATCAGTGGAGCTGTCACGCGGCTGTTAGAGGGAAATAAATGCATCCCAAATGGACAATTTCATTTAGGGGGAGGAAAAAAAAATACCCAACCCCATGGATTGCAAAGGATTAATGAGGCAAAGGGTTTGTATTTGCAATTGGATGTAAAATGCAAACATTGTGAGTTGTGATATCATCATTTAACCTTAATGTTCAATAGCTCTCCAATCACTCACTTGCCAGGGGGACAATTAAGCACAGGTTGTAAAAACCAACCCTCCAGCACGGGAGATGAGCAAGGAAATGCATGGATACAGGTTGAGAAGCAGTGCCCAGCCATGACTTTTGCAAGAAAAATTTAATTTAAATGATTATATATATATAAATTAAAGCACCTGGGGAATCAGATTCCCATCAGAGATGCTGAAACTAACTCACTTTTCAGGGCTGCTCACTGGCTTCTGATGATTGACACTTCACAGTCTTTTTTCTAGGGCATGCCAGTGAGGGCTCCCATAGGTGGAAACACTCACAGTCCCCTTCTGAATCCCCAGCATAGGTCAGGCCTTGGGCAGCTGAAGCCATACACAGCTCCCCACTATCTCTGAGAGAACACACAACCATCTGTGGGGGACCTTCAGGAGGAACAGAGACCCAAAGAAATGTCCTGCTCCTGGTGTAGATGAGGAGCAGCCACAGTGTCACCCTCCCAGCTAACCTGGGCCCTTCCTGCCACCCTCCTCACTTTTACCAAAAATGGAGAACAACCAAGGACTCTCCTGCCCTGGTATCCACTGACTATTCCTGTGGCTGCTGCTGGGCACAGGGATCTGGGGGCAGTGGTGGTGGGGTGAGGGTTGACAAGTCCTTTCCCCTGGCCTGAGGGGGGTTCTAGCATGGAGCAGTGGGGGATTTGTAGGAAAGCAGGGGAGCTCCAGTGCAAGGAGGTGGGAGATGAAGGGTGCATGTCCCCAGGGATGGGGAACAAGCTGGGCTGGCTCAGGGCCACACAGCACTCCCATGCAGCCAGCAGCTCTGCCTGCAGCCAGGCAGCGTGTCTCCTCCTAAGCTCAGCTGAGGGGATTAATTGACTTGCTCCATTAGTGACCAAAAAGCCTCTTGCCCTCAGGCAGCTTAAAAGTGAAATAAAAACATCACCAAAAAAATGAAGATGGAGCAGGGGATCAGGGAAACCTCACCAGACAGTCACTGTAGACCCCAAAGCACTCACACACACACTAAAATCCAGAGATCCATGTTTGAATAAATACCAGCAAACAAACCAAATAATTTAAACCAGTTAAAGACTCAGAACATTTCCTTCATGCTAAGTGAATAATTTATGGGCAGAGCTATAATAATAAAAAAAAAAAAAAAAGCCCTCTCCAGGCCTGTATTGCAGGAAAACATATCCAGAATAAAAGATCACATTTAAGACTCATAAATAAATGGAAAACAAAACCAACTGTAAACAAAAAGAAAAGTATTTCCTTCCCAGTTCCCAGTGCTGTCACAGAGACCCCCAGTGTGTAGGGGAGACCATGGCCAAAGGACTCCCCTGCCCATCATCTCTGGATGTACCAGTACATGTTGGGGGCTGACCTGCTGGAGAGCAAAGGCACCTGGGGGTCCTGGTGGACAGGAGGATGACCATGAGCCAGCAATGTGCCCTTGTAGCCAAGACCAATGGCATCCTGGGGTGTATCAGAAAGGGTATGGTTAGTAGGTCACTTTGAGAGTGACAGAGCCCTGGGACAGGTTGCTCAGAGAGGTTGGAGTCTCCTTCACTGGAGACATTCAAAACCTGCCTGGACATGTTCCTGCATGATGTGTTCTAGGTGACCCTGCCTGGCAGGGGGTTGAACTAGGTGATCTTTTGAGATCCCTTCCAACCCCTAAGATTCTGTGATTCTGCTCCCACTCTCTGTGTGGCCCTCAAAAATACAGTCAAAAAAAACCTGGGAAGTGCAACAAAGAGAAGTCCCAGTGATGTGAGTTACAGACAAAATGAGCTTCACATCTTCCTCTGAAATAAAAACTTAGCAAGAAATGGTTTCACTCCCACCACACCTCAGTTAGCTGGGGGAGCTGGCAGGGACTGGATAAATCCCTGGGGGGATGTGAGGTGACACCTCTCCCAAGCACCTCCACAGACCACCCAGAAGATGCCAGGGGGGATTTGCCCCTCTTCATCCTGTCACGAGGGAGTTCCAGGGTCCCCCATATCCAGTAGTGAGGGTGAGGAGTTCCTGCCTTCCTCCCCAGCCAAACTCCTCTGGACGTGGCCAAACCCAGGGCACCAGAGGGGGACCCTGGCAGGTACCTCGGGGCCGGCTCCGGCGTTTCCGTCTCCCCACGGCCGAGCTGCGCAGCGCGGGCTGGAGCTGCCCGATCTCAATGGGCGTGTTGGTGCGGAAGCTCTCCTTGAACTTCTGCATCAGGGACTCCACTGTCTCCTGCGTCACCTCGGGAGCTGCAACACGGACAAAGGGACAGTGGTTAAAAGAGGACCAGGCCACCACGTCCCCACCACCTGTACAACCCCTTCCTTGCAGAAGGCAGCTTGAGCCAGAGCTGCAGGAACTTCTGTCAAGATCCCCAAAGTCACCACAGGGACTCATCCAGCAGGTTCCAATTCTTGCTAACAACACAGATATTTGAAAATTGCTAGTTTATTGAAATTTCACTTCCACAGTGCTTTCCAGTATTATGGATTTTTCCTTGCCTGTTCCCCCATGTGCACGTGGGGCACTTGGAAGCACTGGAACCTTTTCCAAGTTACAGCCAGAAGGGTTCAAAACATACAAAACCTCCCCAGGCACCCAGCTGGCTTCAGGTTGGGTTTAACTCTGCCCTGGGAGCTCAGTCAAACCCTACACTTGGCAGCCTTTTGGGGGATCAGGTAGTCTCCAGCAGGCAAGTCTGGAACTACAGAGGGCAAGGCTGGAGTAGGATCACACTCCAA